CCCAGGCATGGTATCACAAACCTGTAATCCCAGTTACTTGGTTGGCTGGGGCATGAGAATAGCTTGAACACAGGAGGTAGAGTTTGCAGTGAGTCAGCAAAGATGCAAGGTACATAATCCATGCCAAGGAAAAAAAACTCTGTAAAAAAAAAAAAAAAAAAAAAAGAGAGAAAAAAAAGAAAATAAAGAAAGCAGTCATATACCCATGCCAGCACAGCAGCAGTCCTATAGATGCAAAATAGTATCTTTTGATACTATAGGACTTGATTCATGTTTGAATAACATTTTACTCTCTGTGGATAAGCACATGCTGCTAATGATTTTTATATCCTTTGTGTCCCCTTACCACAGTTTTTAAGTAAGTATAGAAGTAACATCTAACAGTAACATTTTCAAACCTATCTCCTCAAAACCACTTAAGTTTCCCTGTTTTCTCAACCTGGTGAAGATAAGGCCTTAATGATGAAAGTAGTTAAATTATTTATGAGTGTTCAAGGGGAAAAAAAGTTTCTATGGTCAATTTTCAAAATTGTGCCCTTCCTAGTTGGCAAATGATTATTGTCATTACAAGAGTTGGCAGAAGTTTAGAACATCTCTCATTTCATATTCTAATTTCTTAAACAAGCATCAATATTAGGTTTACGAAAGGACACTGTGTGGAGTTTGGAGTTATGGTGGGCCAGGGCAAGAAGAAAAAATGTAGGAAAAATAGACATGGACATTCCATATGTAGAACAGTTTGTTATCTGTGAAACCAGGAAAAAATATATTAGAAAGGGTTCTCAATGTTGGAATGTTGAGGCTGTTGAGACACTAAAATGTAACACATAGTCATCCTGTTACAGTTTCATTCAGAAATCACTATGTGTTGGTAATTTCATCAGACTGAACATACATTTTTTTGATGAGTGGCCTCCTAAAAGTCAACCTGAGCAAACTAAAAATCCATTAATATAAATAATAATTACTCTTATCATAAAGGGTGATGTGGTCAGTGAAGTAATACGTGGAGTTTATGCAGGTTAATAGTATTGCTGGTAGAAGCAGAGACAGCACTGTCGAAGCAGAACATGGTAGTGGACGTTTCTAGCTCACTAGTATTTCTTGTAGGGTGGCACTGCAGCTATTGATTGATCTAACTTAGATAATCATCAGATTACAGATGTTGACAATGGACAAGAAAATTTAAGATAGACCCTAGAAATGAATTTGTAATACAGGAAAGGTAAATCACTGATTATCAACAACATCTGCACATTTCTGTAAAAATGTTGTTGTAAGTGCCTGCAAAACATCCATAACCAAAAATATATGCTAAACTAATTTATGGTGTATGCCAAGATATCAGCTAAATAGATAAAGACCCAATAATCTAGGAAGACCCTTACCAAAAGGAGTTGTATCAGATAGCCTCTACTAAACCAAACTACCCCCAAACATAGTAGCTTAAAACAGCAACCATGTATTTAGCTCATGTCTCTGTGGGTTTAAATTTAAGCAGGATTTAGTTAGGCAGTATTTGTTTTGGTATCATCCGGCTCACTCATATGTCTCTCATGAGTTTGAGGCCAGCTGCCAGGTCAGCAGGCAAGCCTCAGCTGGAATGGCTTGTCTCTGTTCCGTGGCTTCTTATCCTCTAGCAGGCTAGTGTGGGCTTATTCATATGGTAATAGATATGCTAAGAGCATAAGTTGAAGTGTGCAGTATCTCTTCAAATCCCAGACCCAGAACTTACACATCTTTACTTCTATAATGTTCTATTGTCCGAAGCAAGCCACAAAGTCAGTCCAGATTCAAGGGATGGGGCAATCTACTCTAGTCCTTCATAGTAGAATTAGAAAATACTAAGTAATTTGTGATTTTTTTTTTTTTTTTTTTTTGAGATGGAGTCTAGCTCTTGCTCTGTTGCCAGCCTGGAGTGCAGTGGTGCAATCTCGGCTCACTGCAATCTCTGCCTCCCAGGTTCAAGTGGTTCTCCTGCCTCAGCCTCCCGAGTAGCTGGGACTACAGGTGCACACCACCATGCCCAGCTAATTTTTATATTTTTAGTAAAGACAGGGTTTCGCCATGTTGGCCAGGATGCTCACAATCTCTAGACCTCGTGATCCACCCACCTCGGCCTCCCAAAGTGCTGGGATTACAGGCATGAGCCACTGTGCCTGGCTATGATGACTTTTAAAATATGATGCAGAAATTAAAAGTCTACGCATTAATTGAAAACACTGGCAGTCATTTTCAGATTTCTCTATGTCTCCTGGGAGCTGGCAGGTAAGAAAGATGGCAGAATAAACCTCCACTATGATTCTTTCTCAAAAATTCTTTCAAAGCTTGTGTTTTAAATTTAGAACATAAGTAGTCTTGCCACAGTCCTTTATGTGTCTTATTAAAGCAATAATGTACAGCTCCTGCATTTTTCCCTAGTTGTCATTATCCAAAAAGGGATAGCCTATTGGTTATGAGTAAAATGTTCAGAATGGCTTACACCACATGAGGCATCTTGAAGGATGAGTCTTAGCTACTCATAAAATAAAATACTACTATTTATGTACTTCATTGAAAACTGGAATCTGAGCCATCATGCACAACATTTGTGGACGGTTATAATAAAATGCTCTACTTAGAATGAAAGTATACATCTTCACATGGCTGCTCATACAAAAGTAAGTATCATGTATAACAGGTCTCTCTATAAAAGCTACATTATTATATTTGGGGAAGAACTGGCACTGCTTTTTTATGAAGCTGTTTATAATAAACTCAAAATTTCCCATGAATCATTGGACTAGCTGGTAATGTTTCTGCTGCAACATTTAAACATGACACTTTTAATGCTTTCATATGGTTATAAGTCTAGAGACTGAAAAGAGAAAGGGTGTAGTCTCCAGAAGGTAAGCAGAGTACCAACCAAAAACTGTTGTAAACATAGATCAATATGTTCTTTTAAAATGAAAACTAAGACCTAAATATTGCAGTCCTAAAAAACGTGATAATTCTGCCTATAGCAAAACAAAAAGGATTCCGTCTTTTGTTTTTGGTATGACCATCCATATAGTGTCCTCTGGAACTCTCTCAGGTTTATTTATTGGAGTTTTAGAAAAAGCAGTGAAGTCTAATTAGCTCTCTCTTGGTTAATGATAGGAACTATAGTGGTTGGTCATCTGAAGCAACAGGACTAGTGATATGATTTGGATTTGTGTCCCTGTCCATATCTTACGTCTGAATCATAATCCCCAGTGTTGAAGGAGGGGCTTAGTGGGAGGTGACTGGATCATGGGGGCGGATTTTCACCTTGCTGTTCTCATGATAGAGAGTTCTCATAAGATCTAGTTGTTTAAAAGTGTGCAGCACCTCCTCCTGCTCTCTCTCTTCCTCTTTCTCCAGCCATGTAAGTTGTGTCTCCCTCCTCTTTGCTTTCACCATGTTTGTGAGTCTCCTGAATCCTCCCAGCCATGCCTCTTGTACAGCTTGTGAAACTATGAGTCAATTAAACCTCTTTTCATTATAAATTACCCAGTCTCTGGTAGTTCTTTATAGCAATGTGACAACAGACTAATACAACTAGTGGAGGACTCTGCTACCCACACCCAAACACATTATGAGTGAAACACAATGAATCTGGGTAAAGTGACAGCTGGCTAAGGAAAAAGAAAACAGTCTGTAGAGACAGAGATAGTGACAAAGTAAACTATCAAGGGACAGCATGTGAACAGCATGTATCCGTAGTTGACTGAGTTGAAGGAAAAACACCAAACAAAATCTCAGCCTCTAAAATTCTAGAAATTTGGAATTGGAACAGGGAGACTGATATGTCTCTTAAAAATTTGTACTATAAAGTGATATAAAGCTAAGATTGGAGCCAAGGTGCTAGTATAAAAGAGAAGATGTATGTTCAGAGAGAGGAATAGAGTGGCTGTTTAGCCAGGCGTGGTGGCTCACACCTGTAATCCCAGCGTTTTGGGAGACCAAGGCAGGCAGATCACTTGAGGTCAGGAATTCAAGGCCAGCCTGATCATAATGGTGAAACCCCATCTCTACCAAAAAATACAAAAGTTAGCCAGGTGTGGTGGCATGCACCTGTAATCCCAGCCACTCGGAAGGCTGAGGCACAAGAATCACTTGAACCCAGGGGGCGTAGGTTGCAGTGAGCCAAGATTGCACCATGCACTCCAGCCTGGGCAACAAGCTGTCTCAACAAATAAATAGTTGTTTAGAGAAATTAAAGGATATTGAGAGAGAGGGTAGAGGAAGCGAGTGCTCTTTTGTTTCTTATTTTAGTCCCTCTAGCCCATGAATTCTCAACGGTGGTAATATCACTTCCAAGGGAACAATTGGTTCTTAGAAGGGAGACGGCAATAAAATCTTAAATTTTGCAATAATTTTGGCACTCCAAGGCTCAAGCCTACCTGAAAAAAAATCATATTTATCAGTATTTAGTTTCATAAGGAGGGAGATAATTAGGAAAGGACATCTAACATCACTCCTTAGGAGGATGATAATGAAAACAGGTTGAAAAATACTATTGAAGACCCATATTTATTTAGTTAACAATAATTATGGAGCATTATTTAAATATACCAAGTACACTCCTAGGCAATAAAGCAGTAAAAATTCTGTCCTGCTGGAAACATCATGTTCCAGAAGACATCTCAGCATCTTTTAAATAGCTTTAATTTTTTCTGAAGCAAGTTTGACTAAATACTCTTATTTGAAAGCAAATTCTTGCTAAGGCAATGAGCCATCCTTCCAGCCAACCAGGAAGACATTTAATCTGATTTTACCTGTAGCTTCTTTGACTCTGATGAGTACAGCTACAAGTTATTAAACACTCTCTACATGTCAGATAATTAATGTAAATTACTTTCCACCTTTGCAAAAAGTCACAAGCTAGGTATGCTTTTTTACTATTTTAAAGGTGAGGAAATTGAGATTCAAGGAGTCTAACTTGTATAAGACTTCAGAGCTAAGAAATGAAGGAACTGAAATTTTTCACTAGTACTGTCTGGTTCTAAAACAGTGCTTTTTATATGATACCATGCCGCTGCTTCGCATGCCTAAGCACTGTGGGGCGGGGGGGGGGGAGAAGCTAGTTTTTGTCATCTCCTCTGAAGTTCTGATGAGTCATTAAATTTCTCTGAGTTTTAGTTATCTCATATATAAAATCCGGAAAATAATGTCAAAATAAGGTAGAAGATTTCTTAACCTAAAATTATTGTTCACTTCTTATAGGTCTGTCATACAACTAAAGAAAGCACAGGAAACCTCATCAACATAGGAGTTCTCCTCAAGGTAATACCACTCATAGGAATGTCAGCTTGCAATTTAAGATGTTCATCTCTAAAAAGGAAATCCAGTATTCTGACTTCAATTGTAGAAGTTTACTACTAGTACTTTTTTTTTTTTTTTCCTAAAGAAATAGGACTCATTGGCTCTTGTAAGATATGGAGAATTGTTTTATAAATCTTGCATAGTTATAGATTTTTTCCATGAGATACTATTAGGCTGGTGCAAAAGTAATCTCAGTTTTTGTCATTAAAAATGATGGCAAAATTGCAATTACTTTTGCACCAGCCTAATACTATACTTCATTTTTTATAATATCTAAATTACATTTTTAAAGATTATATTTTTGCTTTTAAATAAAAAATAGAAAAGTTCAGCATACTATTTATTTTTTATTTTTTTAAATATTTTTCCTTTCATGCCTAGTCCCAAAGATCACCATACACAATTTAAAGGAGACACGGAAATAGATGATGGAGAATAAAGCCTTTCTCTCTCTCCCCCAGTGTCTATCTCTTTTCCCATCTTTCTTTCCTTCTTGATTAATAAAAATACTAATCTCACAGTGCCTTGTAAAGTACATTATTATCTATGTAAAAATGACAAAATGAAGCACAAAGACATTAAGACACAAAACACTAAGCAGCTAATGCCTTAATTATCAGAGCCAAAATTTATGTGTGAGTGTGTAACTCTAGAGCCCAATGCTTTTTTTCCCACGAAAACATACTGCCTCCTACAATTTCAATGTAAAATCCATTCCCCATAAAAAAGAGGCTTTCCTCCATTAGCTCAAGTTTTGTAACATTAATTGTTTATGAGAACTGAATTTATGATAATGAATTCCCTCCTATGCCTACATTTTCATTTCTTTTTTTATTTTATTCAGCCCTCAAGCAAAGCAATTTATGTTAAAGACAAAAGTAACATTTACCCTTATGATGTTTCAGGACAAAGTCATTTATCTTAGGAAACATATAAGATAGTGCAGATATTGGATATTTTAAATGAGTTCACAAATACAAATATAAGGGAAATGTTAAAGGGAAAAAATGTGCCCTGACTATATCAAGCCTTCTTTTGATCCACCCCCTTGCAGAAGGGGTGTTTTAGAAAACACATTTGCTCCAGTTGCTCACACATTCAGGCTCTGCAACATTCACGACAAGAACACTGCTCTGCCTTCCATATTTCTTGTCTCAAAAGTATATGGTTATGTAACCAACAGCATAGAATATTGGAAATTCACATTCCTGTTATAAAACTCAAGTATGAATTAGCCCTAATCCAACATATGTCTAAAACCCAAATGAGACAACCGACAGAAACATATAGGAATCCCTTTCTCTAAGGTACAATTTCTTAAAGAGTGGGTCACCTGTATTATACTCATATAGAGAGCTTCTTAAATAAAGCGGTAGATTCTCTAGTTTATCCCAATTTACTAAGTCAGAATCTCTGGGAACTTGGGCTGAGAATCCACTCTGGAATGAACAAGATCTGTAGGTGATTCTGATGTACATGCACCCACTCTAAGTTTCTGGTATTTTCTTTTTATATGGTATTAGGATTTATAGAAAGTAATACTCAGATTATATTAATTCTACAGAAATGGTATCAACTTAGTAGTAATTTATTATGTAGGTTTATTTTATAAATTGTGTAGATTTAGGAAATATTTCCTAAAACCACTTTTCATTTATCCTTTTATGAGCATCCTGTGATAAATTTTTCCCTTAGTTTCATTTTCTTCGAAAATATCTAAAAGAAAAAATACAGCACATATAAATCACTAAAACGTAGGTCAACTACTACTCTAGGCATAGGAGATCTAAGACAGGTCCTCTTTTAATAATATATTATAGGTACAAAAATGGTGCAAAGGAGTTAGAAAGTGTTTCTCTTGGCCTTGATCATTGAAAATGTCAAATTAAATTGCTGACTTCCAGTTTCATCTTCTACATAAAAAAGGCTTGAAAGCACAATTCCCATCCATACAACAAGAAAAGGCTGGACAAGCTTAAAATCAGCCATCTTTTTTGACCCATCAGAGAACCGAAATTGCAGGACAAATTGCTCCACCAAAATTTAAGAAAGACAAACACATCCAGAGAATCATACATAATGCCTACTAGAGCAGAAGCTGCTGGCACAATAAACTGATAGAGTTCCTTAAGTGGTAATTTAGATGAATTGCTGGAGACTGGGTATAGACTAGCTTGAGAGTGAGAAACTTCTGGGGGACACATTCTTAGTGGTCTCCTATAATTTTATAGGTTTTACTTCTAGGAATCAAAATTTCATGATGAATAACTGATACAAAATCCATGATTATCTCAGGCAAGGGGAGGAGAAGTATAATCATTGTTATATACACTCCCAGTGCCTACTTCATAACAAACACCTACTCTCAAGGGGAAAACACTTTGCCAGACCCTGTTCTAACTGGAGGAAAAAAAAATCACATTCCACCTCCTTCTAGCTCTTCTGTCTCACCTAAGTGAGAGACACAGTCTAGGGTCAGGGTTTCAAGGAAATACATTAGGAGCACTGCAGCCAGAAACGCCTATACCACCAGAGAAACACTTAAGAACATCACAGGGTTTGGTTGGCCCTGACAAAAAGACCCATTAAAAGACTTATATTTGATTGTAAGATTACAGATTACTTCTATTCCCCACATCTTACGACCAGGCCACCAGGGATCCAGTATAGTAACAGTGGGTAATAGCTGAAAGACCTGTATGAGAGACTCTCTCTGAGAAGGAGTGCTTAGGGAAGCCCAAAGTCAGGATAGAAGACAAAAACAAGGAGAACAGAGGAATTTGAAACCTACGGCAACTACAGTCACATTACAGCACCTATTTACAGCAAACATGAAAAACGAACAGCCAACTCTTAACAAGAGTAACATAAATCCTCACACTGAAAGACCTGTTTATCTCAGTTCTTAATATTCAACACCACATATCCACCATTCCACAGAAAAATACAAGACATGTCAAAAGTCAACACAAAACACAAGCTGAAGAAACAAACAAAAATCACACCAAGACTCAGATATAGCACGGATATTGGAATTCTCAAACAGACAATGTAAAATAACTGTGATTAATATGTTAAGAAATATAGTAGAGAAAGTAGACAACCTATAAGAACAGATGGGTAAAATAAGCAAAGAGATGGAAACTCTAAAAAGCAAGCAAACAAAATAATGCAAAAAAGAAATGGCCAAAATAAAAAACATTCTAACAGATATAAGAAATGTTTTTGATGGGTTTCATAGTAGATTCGACACAGATGAAAGAATCCATAAAGTTGAAGACAGATCAATAGAAACTTTCCATGCTGAAATGCAAAGATGGGGGAAAAATAATGAAAACCTGATCATCAAAGATATGTGGGACTATTTCAAAAGGTATACCAGATAAGTAATTGGAATACCAGGATACCAGAAGAAGAAAGAGAACATAAAGCACTGAAAATACTTGAAGTAATGATGGCCATGAATTTTCCAACATTAATGACAGACATCAAACCACAGGTCTAAGAAACTCAGAAAACAGCAATCTGGATAAACACAAAACAAATTAAAAACAACACACACAGATATCACATTTAAACTGCAGAAAGCCAAAGGCAAGGTAAAATCTTGACAGAAACCAAAGGGCAAAAAATACTTCACCTGTGGAAGAACAAGGTAAGAATTACTACCAACTTCTCCTTATAAACCATACCAACAAAGCCATTTCAAGAACAAAAGGGATCTGAGAAGTTGGAAGGAAATGGAGTGAAATACTGAAAGTGTTAAAATTGGCCAGGCATGGTAGCCCACACATGTAAACTCAGCACTTTGGAAGGCCGAGGCAGAAAGATTGCTTGAGTCCAGCAGTTCAAGACTAGCCTGGGCAACATAGGCTAGTTGCCCAGTTGCAAAACAAACAAACAAACCCTGTTTATTTTTCACAAAAGAATATTGTATTAATTTTTAAAGTGTTGAAAAAGACCAACAATCTAGAATTCTATACAATTCAACCATCTAGAATTCAGTGAAATGAAGAAGACACACTTTCTCAGAAAAACAAAAACTGAGAGAAATTATTACCTGCAAGTCTCCTCAACCACATGCAGCCTATGCCTGTCACATGAAGTGATTTTTTTAACATAACAAATAATTCAACATCTTTATTCATGCTGATTAGTTTTCTTAGAATATCTCGCACCTTCCCAGTCTGCTTGTCACATTTGACTTTCGTATGTTTTAAGAACTATTTATTATTCTATGACAAAGCTCATATATCTTTCCCAGACAAAATTAATCTTTCTCCACTGTACCAGATGTGGAAGTGAACGCTAATGCCTACAAAATAAAGGAGGAACATTCCTAAAATGGCTTGAAAATTTCTTACTGAGTGTTAGGAAATGTTACTCAATGAAATAAGAAAACGAGAAGAGACAGGAAGACATTAGGCGAGGAAGACACTGAATTTTCCTTTAGTCATTCTAGGTTTGAAGAGCCTACTGGACTTTTAAATGAAGAGGTCTAGCTCTTGGTAAATAAAGACGTGCTAAAATTTGCCAGTGAAGTTGCATTGAGTTGATAACAGAAATGTGGGGTAGATAAGATCTTTATTTATTTATTTATTTTTGAGATGGAGTCTCGCTCTGTCACCCAAGTTGGAGTGCAGTCATGCAGTCTCAGCTCACTGCAGCCTCCACCTCTGAGGTTCAAGCGATTCTCCTGCCTCAGCCTCCTGAATAGCTGGGACTAGATAAAGAGACAAAAGACCTGGTGCAGTGGCTCATGCCTGTAATCCCAGAACTTTGGGAGGCTGTGACGGGCAGATCACTTGAAGTCAGGAGTTTCAGACCAGCCTGACCAACACGGTGAAACCCCATGTCTACTAAAACTACAGAAATTAGACGGGAGTTGTGGCAGGTGCCTGTAATCCCAGCTAATACGGAGACTGAGGCAGGAGGATTGCTTGAACCCTGGAAGCAGAAGT